CCCTGCTCTGGGGCAGGCCTTTGCCGTGCCTCACGCGGTGAGGCGTCGTCCCCCCTGCTTTGATGCTGGAGCTCGGGCACGGCGTGCCGGGATGGGGGCCACCTCCACCCCCCCGCCCGGGATGGGGGATTTGGCCTCATGCCAAGCTGCTGCATGCCAGGATGCGGCTGCGTGGGACATCCCGCCAGCACTGCACACCCGGGGAGGTGCTGGGCTTGGGGGGACACAGGGCTGAGCCCCATGCCAGCACAGGGTGGGGAGGGCTACCTTCGCCTACCGGTTTATTCAACAGGGTCCTCTCCAAGGCAGCACATCCCCATCCTCATGCTGGGATGAGCGCAGGGAGGTTTCAGAGCATGCGGGGTACAGTGTTCCGCAGCTGCTCCTGACAGCCCCAACACCCCTGGATCAGGAGCTCTGCTGGGTGTGAGCAGCCCCTCTATGAGCCCGGTTCATGCCTGGGCAGCGCGGGGAGCTCACCCAAAATCTCTGCCCCTCCATCCTCAACTCTGCTGCACACAGCAGAGGGGTGGGCTCCAGCCCCAGCTTGGATGCTCTGGCCCCACGCAAAGCTGGGGCAGGGTTAGGTCAGGACCAAAAGGGCAAACGAGGCATTTCGCTGCTGCGATGGGGACTGTTCCTCTACCTGGGGAACCTAAAAACCTCACAAAACAACTCAGCAGAGCTCCAGGCACCAGGTACCTGCCCTCGCGAAGCAAAACGATGCACTTTGAGATCCAGAAGTTGCAGACTGAGAAAGGGCTGAGCTCCTGTGAGCCAGGCAGCTTGCACCAAGCATTGAGATGGTCCCAGGGACCCGTGTGTCCCATCACTGCTCTGCTGTGCTCACCGCCCTGTGTTTGGGGCTGGAAAGGATGCTGTGAGTCACGTGTGCTGCCCTGCTAGGAGTAAAGCCCCCGGGGTTTGGGTCTCTGCCCCCTCTCCAAGCCCCAGCACCTTACCCACAACCTTGGGCAACTTCTGGCGGCGCAGGGGGATGCGTGGGAGCTTCATTCCGATCCGACTGAAACGCCCACACAAGCGTCTCGGTGGCTTCTTGGCTGCTGCTGGGTCCTGGCTGGAGCTGCAAGAGAAGGCGACGGCCCCATCAGAGAGGCACCAGCACCCACCTTGCGGTGGGGACAGCCTTCACGGGGTGTGATAGCAAGTCAGAAGCTCAGTGATGCAAATGCAAAGGGGTTTCAGAGAAGAGCCTGGGGTGGCTCGAGGCAGGGGGGTGCCCAGGGCACAGGGGGTCAGGGACCTGCCGGGGCTGCTGCCAGCCCCGGGCACCAGCTTGTACATTGCACTGGGATGCAGAGCCAGGGGATGATGGCAGGCCAGCCCCAAAACACCTGCAATGCCAGGCCAAGACCCTGAATCTTTAAAAAAAATAAAAATCATCCCAACCCAAAAACAAACACGTGGCTTCTCTTTATTTGCTCTCTGGTTTTGAAGCCTCCAAGGGCCGAGGTTTCAAGCAATTATCTGCAGCCGCAGGAGTGAGCGGCTTCGCGTGTTGATGCAAGGCAACGTGCGAGGTGCCCACTGCCGCTGCGGTCCCTCGGGATGCTCCGGCAAGGGACCGCTGCTGGGACAGCACAACAGGTGACCCAGCTGTTTGGGGACATCGCGGGGGTCCAGATGTTTCCAGATGTTTCCCCCAGAGAGAGGAAACTATTTTGAGCCATTTCCCCCCTCCCTGTGTGATACTTCACCATGCGGGGCTGCCTTTGTGCTTTTATCAGCGGGATAATTACATGCAGCCCCCAGGCTCTCCAAGCCAGATGTGCCGGGCTCAGATTGAGCTGGCAGGGCTGCAAGGGGAGGCTTCCGAAAAATTCCTGTGCAGCGGCATGAGGGGAGGCTTTCTCTGCAGCCAGAGGAGCTCCCACAACCCGCTCATCCCTTGCTGAGCAGCACGAACCTTCCCCCCCTGCAATGGGGCTGTCCCCATCCCTGTCCCCGTGGCAGGATGTCACCCAGTGCTGTCGAAATGCTGCCGGCATCCTCACCTCACAGCAAGAATTGACCTCACCCTCCCCTCCCCGAAAGTCCCCATGCAGGACAGCTGGCAGCGCTGCAGCCCATCACCCTCCGCCAGGTCTCACCCCATGGCCCAGGAGTTTGTTTCGGGCGTCCTGGCTGTGACTCGATGCCCTCGCTGTATTTTAGCGTTCCCTTTTCAGCCCCCGGAGACCGGAGGGGACCTGGTGGGTCTCCATGAAGTGATGGCCCACAAGAGAGAAACAAAGGCGAGGAGAGGGGAGAAGGTGGTCCCCAGGCAGGGCTCACTCCGAGCCCCTCCATCAGCCCCCCTGCTGCGAGGATGCAGCAGGACCTTCTCAGACCCCAGGGACCCACAGGGCGCACGGTGCCGGTGGGGTAGTGCTGCTCTGCCTCAGTTTCCCCACAGCGCCGCTGTCCCGGTGCAGTCCCTGCATCCCCCGACCGGTCCCAGCCCTGCACTGGGCACTGATGTCCCCAGCTGTCCCCAGAACTGCAGCTCCCCCCCCTGCTCAGGCTTCGCGGCAGAGCCTGGCAAGAGGCCACCCAGGGCACTCACCTGCGGGTTTCGTCCTTCTTGCGGCAGACGCAGCAGCAGCAGAGCAGGGAGAGCAGGAGGATGAGCAGCAGTGCCAGGAGGGCTCCTGCACCGATCACCCCCATCCGCTGGTTGGCCTCTGCAAGACAAAACCAGCCAGCTCAGCCCTGGTGACAGCCCTGTGGCAGAGCCCGGCACCCCGACCTGTGCCCACCAGC